TATTTTGGGTGTACTCACCTATTAAGCACAGCTGCTCTTAGAGTGTTATTTGATTCCTAGCGCAGTTTTTTTTTAATTTAACATTACTAATATGCTAGGTGCCTGCTGGGTTTTTCGAAAGCCAGCAAAACTAACTTTGCCTGGTAAACGCATCACTAGTGGCAACATGCCTGTGAAAATCTATGAATGTTTTATTGTATTCCAACTGTTTAGCTACTTAACTTAAAGTGGAACTATTTTTTTTTTTTTAAATGCCAGCAGGCAAGCACTTTTTAGCATGCTATGCGTCTTCTGCAATAAAACAAACTTACATGCAATCTTCTTTAGAATGCACAGTGAGCTACGCATGCACATCTCAATGTAATATTCTTTAATCATCTCTGTGCTGGGATGAATGAACTCCAATGCACATATCGGTGGTTACTGGGGCCCTCTTCCTCCTGTCCAGGTCCCCCCAAGTGGCCCAGTCCGGCTTGCAACTGCTGCAACCCTGCGCAGTATACGATGACATGAGCATAGCTGACTTCTATTATCCTTCTCCTCCTGCCAGTTGAGGTAAAAATGGCATCCATTAGATGCCCATTTTCATGGGAATGTGGGGACTTTTTGTTAGATGCGTTTTTCCCATGTTTTTATATTTCAGAACACTGCCCCTTTAAGGGAATCCAACGGTAATTTTTTCAGCGGGAAAAAACGTTATTGTGGCGGGAAAATATCGCCACAAGGATATATGGCAGTTTGAATTGATGCCCTATATAAGGAGGTGCTGCTAGGATTTAAGCATCCAGTGGGAATCCCGTTTTAGAATGAAAACTGGGCAATATGGTGAAAGTTTAACAGTTTATTGGTTGATTATTCGATTGGTTATTAGAGCTTGATTTAATATTAATCCAATAAAAATGCATCGGCCAATTAATGCCAATTTAAATAAAAGAGTGTTGCGTGGTTATTTATTTATTTAGAGTTTTAAGTTAATGTAAGCATATGTCACCTACAGTTCCATGCTGTTGCTTGCCTGTGCCCTGTCCAGCACCACCTCCACAGAATCAGTTAATCCAGCACTGCCATCACAGAGTCATCGGCTATGCTGGCTCATCCTGAAGAGAAACAAGCTTCTGGACAGGCCTGTTTAAGCTGCTCAAGGACAAAGTAATAAGAATCTGGATACTACTTTGCGTAGTATACTACACAAAGTGAGTAGCTATATTCTTATTAATTCTTCCTCCAGCAGCATATTTCTATTCCGGAATGACCCAGCATGGCAGATGATACCATGAAGGTGGAACCTGAATTGATCCAGCGCTGCTGTTATGAAATCCAATCCACACTTTCATGATTACGAATATCAGCAATGTAATGTACAACAATACAGAATGACTCTAATCTGTAGAGGGACTACAAATCCCAGCAATACATTATACAGCAATGCAGAATACCACTAGCTAAAGAGGACTACAACTTAGGGTTGCCACCTTTTCTTCAAGTGAAACTCGAACATTATAGCACCGTGCGGCAGTTTTCTTTGGAGACTATACAGGAGGGAGCGAGGAGAGATAGCCAGGAGAGAGAGAGAGAAGAGAGACAACCAGGCGAAAGAGAGAGGAGAGGCAGCCAGGAGAGAGAGCGAGGGGAGATGGCCAGGAGAGAGAGCAAGAAGAGATGGCCAGGACAGAGAGAGAGGAGATACAGCAGGAGAGAGAGAGAGAGAGGAGAGGCAGCCAGAAGTGAGAGCGAGGAGAAATGGCCAGAAGATAGCGAGGAGAGATAGCTAGGAGAGCAAGGAGAGGCAGCCAGGAGAGAGAGAGAGAGGGAGGAGAGAGAGCCAGGGGAGAGAAAGGAAAGGCAGCCAGGGGAGAGAGAGAGGAAGGAGAAACAGCCAGGGGAGAGAAAGGAGAGACAGCCAGGGGGAGACAGAGGCGAGACAGTCAGGGGAGAGAGACAGGAGAGACAGTCAGGGGAGGTTGAGAGGAGAGACAGTATCTGTACCCACACATTGCCTGGAAGTATCTGTACTTAGCGGCTGTTAGGGGGAGGAAAGGGAGCAGGTGATCCGTTTCCTCTGCCAGGCTCCCTCTGTACTGGGCTCCTTCTGTACTCTGTACAACAGCAGCAGAGGTGGCTTCCTAATTAGGCAGCAACTCGCTGGGGCTTCACGGCAGTGCCGCTGGGGCTTCACCTAATTTGCCTGATTAGAGAGCCGCCTCTGCCTGATATGCAGCATATGGAGGCAATCCAGGCTGGCATACAGCCGCTGGAACTATTTTCATTGTTGGCCCTGGAGCTAATGCTCCAATAACCCCTATGTTATTACGGCCCTTGGGGGAGGTATGAAATAAAGTGATAAAAATAATATGCAGTAAGGTTCAAATACTCCAACACTTTGTTTTTTGTGTTTCTCCTTCTTCATCTACAGTTGTACGGTCTGATAAGTAACATGTATAATCGGAGAAAAACAGTCCCAAGAGCTGGACAAAGCCAATTGTAAGCTGAAGGGATCGGGAGATGGTGTCTTTGAGATAACTGCATCTTCAATGAGTGAGAAAAGTGAAAGTAAGCAAGAGATTTGAAATGGCTGAGCTATGGGAAAAGGTAACCAGATATATTGGCAAAGTTCAGTTTTTGTATATGTATATACAGTATATTTATATTGCAGTGGAAAAAAAGGAAGTAATGTTGCAGTTAGCTGCCAGTAACCAATGCTATAAGAAGTAGATATTATGTAATCCATATAATCCAATTATTTTTATAGAGTGAAGAAAGGTTAGAACTTTTTTTTTTATTGCTGTCTTTTAGCTCCAGAGGTCCTGTAAATGAAATGTAAAACTCCAGTACCAAATTCCTGCCTATGCTGATTGTCAGAACTTGTGGCCCAAATCACACAGCCTCCAATGACCAGTGTTTTTCAGGATACATAGAGAAACCTTTGCTTAGAGAGTGGATCTATTTATATTAGATTTTGACCATTAAAAAAGAACTCTGGGCAGAATTTCCCCCTTGTAGTAGGACTACCCCAGCACTGCAAGGGTTAGGTGCTTGTTTGTGTCTAGGTGTTAAAAAAAAAAAAAAAGTTATACTTGCCCAACTGCAGAGCCAGCTGGCAGCTACTCTGGTTCCTGAAGCCAATCTCCTCCTCCTCCACTGCAGCAATGTAAAGGACATGAGGACACAGAGGGAAATACTCCCTCTGTGTCCTCATGTCCTATACACTTTATAGAATGTGATGACAAAGAATCCTTAGACCGTTGCAGTGGAGGGGGAGAGAGACTCCAGGGATCGGTCTCAGAAAAAGCCGTCTCAGAGGATCGGATGAGTGTAATTTTTTTTTTAGCACCAAGACACAAACGAGCACTATCTGCCCCCAACATTTTTTAACATAAATTGCAAGGCTATAGTCCGGTCATGCTGACTGGTGACATTTTTGAGTGACTGGTGAGACACCCTAACATTTTTCAAGCCCTGTATATATATTTATATATATCATAAATAATCATCACATCACGTGCATATAGAATGTATATTATGCTACATAACACAAAATCCAATATATACTAAAATAAAATGTATCAAAAATGATACACCTAACAAATGCATTTACTCAGTTTCACATCAAACCATCTAGTGACAGAACTGATAACTTACAACCTGCTATAATATCTGCCGTTAGCAGCTAGTATGTAATTGTCAAACATACAAATCCAAGCTGTAAAAGGCACTGCAGACTCACCTGTGTGTGTTAAAAAGGTGCATTATGCTGTAGAAATAGAAGAGACATCCTCATTGCCCATCTTGTTGAGTCCTGTGGTTTGGGAGGCAGAATAGTTATAGAGTGCAATTATTAACAAGTTCAGACATCCATAATACACATGCAGGCTTATATCATACAAGGAACAGGGGCTGGAACTAACCTGTAAGAATATAGAAAGTTTTATACACATAACAACTGTAATTAGTGAGATCTACAGGCTAGATGTCAGGCCAGAAAAGCACATATTCCCTTTATAATACAATTTACTAATTTAACGCATGTTTGCTTCACAAAGGAATTTCCAGAATTTCCAGGGACCTAAATATCGTACATTGGTAGAAGATTTCCTGGTTAAATCTTTATTTAGCAGCTGAGAAAGCTAACTGCATGTTCTGTTCTGGTATATTAATTTTCAGCAGCATATCAAGGCCAGAAAATGTCATTAAAATCATTACATATAGTGGATTTCGATTCTTATCTGTCCCTCCAAGTCTGGTGATGCCATAGCGACTGGGGGGTAGTTTAACTTGCTGTGCAAGGTGAACAGTTGAAAGTGTGCGCGCAGAGGGATCTCCCGGAACTCAATGATGCGAACATAGGCAACATTACAACCTCAAACCATGCCCGATGCCTCTATTTGTTTATCTCCTCCCATACTTAAACAGCCAACTTAGAGACCCAACCCCTCATTCTCACTGATGCATTGTTTGGATATTGTTTCCATTTTCGAAACTGCTATACAACTTTATATAACCTAATCCCACAGACCCCATGGATAGCTGACCTGACAAGGCATTAGAAATGTATTCAGGATTTCCTACATAGTCCACATTGGAGGCCGCAGATGCACAATCAATTGAGTGTCCTATTTCCAGAGATGAATTGGCCATAGGTATCACCCAAACTACACTAGGCAAAAGCCCTGGACCAGATAGCTTTACCTCCCAATACTAAAAGATGTTTCAGGATATATTGGCTCTGTACTTTCTGGCTGCATAGAACTTTATGGATTTAATAACCCGTCTTCCTCCCCAGACTCTGGAGGCCCAGATTACTATCATCCCCACAAAAGGGAAAGACCCCAAAATTGTGCTCTAGCTCCCACCCAATCTCATTGTTAAATGTTGATGTCTAGCTATTCACTAGGGCCCTGTTCAATCGCCTTCCCCTGTTGCTACCTTCATAAATTCATCCAAACCAAGTTGGGTTCATTCCTGACCAAGAACCCAGTGACAACATAACCAAGGCTGTTGACATGATACATTGGATTCAGAAGCGAGGCAAGGAGGCAATTGTGTTGTCGACTGATGCGGAGAAGGCCTTTGACAGGGTCACATGGGACTTCATGTTTGAGGTTCACAGGCATATGGGCTTAGGTCAGCGTATGATGGGTTGGTTACTTACCACCAAGGGCATCACCAGGCCAGGTGTCATCCAGTGCAGCTGCCAGGTGTTACCTGACACGCATATCATTACATTACGTGTACTTCACTGCCAGCGGCCATCTTGGTGATGGACGCTGGCAATGAAGGAAAGGGAATGTTTCTCCTATGTTCTATGAAGAGCCTATGTTCACCAGGTAAGATACACTATGTGACTATGTGGGCTTGTTTGAGACAGTTTACCTGCAACCCCACATATGCACAATTTACATCAGACATCCGTGTACTGCCGACTGGAAACTAATACTTGGCATCTCTCCGATGTTCTCTTGATAGATGTTTTTTGTCTTGCTGTTCCGGGCCTTTAAACGTTAACACTTTCTTTGTTACCTATTCTCAACACTTCTCTATGATGCTGAGTTTACTTTGTTGCTCCAATTCCTCTTGCCTCCACATACCAAGTCTGCAGAAACTTCAATTCCTCCATGTGGCAACCCCCGAGCAGCTGCACCGTGAATGAGGGACAGTGGCACGATATCTCAAATGCAAAGCTGATTCTACATGAAGCACCTTACAAGCATCAGTTATCTTGAGGAGGCAAAAACTGAGTAGAGAGCAAGAGAATTATATGGTCCTCAGCCCCTCCCAAAGCTTACTATATCCTTAGATGTAGGAAATTATCCCGTCCCTACAAACATGGAGAGGTTGCGGAGTGGGGGTGTTGTATGTAATGTGAATTTTACCTAAGGCAAAGGTACAATTGTGGATCTAATAGCTCTGTTGAATTATCTTACTGATTTGGTCTTCTTTGTTGTATTTTAGTTGAGATAAAAATGTTAATGGAAAAAACAGTTCAAAGTGTTTGAACACACTGTATCACCTTTAAAATTGTCACTTATGTGAAAGAAAATATTAATTGAGTACAATGCATGAGCAAGGCGGACAGGGCTATTATGAACACAACATTCTCACTGTGTCATTCAGTTCTTTGGTAATGTAGTGTATGTAGTTTGGCAATGTTATTCAATGCAAAACTCATATTATTTTTAATTAAGAATTTGAAAATGCAACATCTTGGAATTTTAAAGTTTAGTTTTTTTGTTAAACTAGAACCAGAAACCTGTTACATAGCTTCCCCTTTCTTGTGCTTTTTAGGCTTGTAGCTTAATAATTCTATTAAGTAATCAGTGTAGCATAGGGGCAGTATTAAAGCTGTAGTGGTGTGCCTATAATTACCGCAAAAAAAAACTGTATTCACTATATTCTGTTCTGCTCTGTACTATGTGTACTTGACTCTAACCTATTAGGGCCCGACATACCAGGCATGATACTATTTAGTAATTAATAAATGTTGGTAATTGTGGTGTTAATCTTTGATGAAAAGGGATCTTTCCATGAGAAAAAGGTAAAAATAATGAGCTCAAGGGAGAAGGCTATGTAAATTAGAGGATTTCTGACCACAGATGTTGTGAATAGTAGTCGCAATATTAGGGAAGCCTTAAACTGCATTTCAATTTGAAAGCTGTAGCTGATAATTTTTCTATTTGTTCATAATAAGTGACCAGGACATTTACTTGGGCTAAAACAATAAAAAATAAACTAAAATGTATAAACAACATTTATGCTGTCATGAAAAATGCAATGTATAATGGTGTAATTATACAAACATAAATAATATGTAATGTTTCACCATTGAAAGCATTGTGCTAAGCAGTGGATAGTTTGTTTACACTCTCACGATTCAGTGCTATTTTTACATTGTATATTGTCGTAATAACTTATTTTCTTCTTTTTTCTTTTCAGATGTTTTCATTACACACATCTGGATTACGGTTCCTTTTCTACTTCATACTTTTATTTTTGAGATTGCTAGCAGCCAGTTGGTACCCAAAAAGTTTACCTTGTAATGTGTTCCAAGATGGCACTGCTGTTATTGTAGAGTGCACTAATCGTAGCCTTACGGCAATCCCACCACAAATACCTAGAAATACCACCAATTTGACATTGAATATCAATCATATCGAAGAAATCACGCCAGATTCATTTTCCCACTTTAGCAACCTGGTTGAAATTGGATTTAAATGTAACTGTATACCCATAAAATTAGGTCCTAAGGACCTCATTTGCAACCAGAAACTCTCCATTGAGGATGGCAGTTTTGCTTCACTACTTAAATTGCGCTCACTTTTTTTGGATGGTAATCAACTTTCACAATTTCCAAGAGGCCTACCACCATACCTACGACTTCTGAGTTTAGAAGCTAATACCATTATTTCAATTAAGAAGAACAACCTATCTGAAATACACAATATTGAGATGTTATACTTAGGACAGAATTGCTACTACAGGAATCCATGTAACGTCAGTTTTCTAATTGAAAGAGAAGCATTCAAGGATTTAACCCAATTAACACTTTTATCCCTGAAAGGAAATAATCTGTCGTATGTGCCTGGAAGTTTTCCAGTCAGTCTCAAGGAACTATACATCTATAATAACAGAATAGAGTATATTCAAGAATATGATTTTCAGAACTTGACCAACTTAGAAGTTCTAGACCTAAGTGGAAATTGCCCTCGATGTTACAATACTCCATATCCTTGTATTCCATGCTCAAACAATGCTCCGATCTTTATTCATGAGAAAGCATTTGATTCACTACAAAGCTTACACACTCTTCGTTTGCAAAGTAACTCTCTTCGCAATATCCCAGGTAGATGGTTTCAAAACATTCAAAATCTTCAAGTACTCGACCTCTCTCAAAATTTTCTAGCTCATGAAATTAGGGAAGCAACATTTTTGATGCATGTACCAACACTGAAAACATTAGATTTTTCATTCAACTATGAGCCTCAGCAATATCAACTGGATCTGCAGTTACCCAAAATATTTTCCAGTTTAAAATCTTTGGAAACTTTGAGAATCCGTGGGTATGTTTTTCAAGAACTGAAGAAAAAAAACCTTGAGCCATTGGTGGATTTAAAAAATCTTACTGTTTTGGATCTTGGCACAAATTTTATCAAAGTGGCAGACTTTAGCTTGTTTCAGAATTTTAGTTCACTAAAAACAATAGCACTTGCTAATAATAAAATATCCCCTGCAGATAACCCGGCTGTTTCCTCCTGCTCAAATTTCAAATCATCTTCTACACAATATAATTATGCACCATTTCGAGATGTCCATTATTTCAATTATGATGATCAAGCACATCACTGTAAACTCAATGTGAATGAGGAATCAAGATCTCAGAAATTTGCTACTGAAAACTGTCAAGAATATGGTCAAATGTTAGACTTAAGCCAAAACAATATTTTTTTCATCAGAACTAGTGACTTTAAAGATCTTAGCTTTATAAAATGCCTCAATATGTCAGGTAATGTAATTAGTCAGGCACTGAATGGAACAGAGTTTGCAAGCTTAAAACACTTAAAATATTTAGATTTTTCTAACAATCGCCTTGATCTTCTCCTTTCAAGTGCATTTGAGGAACTTCAAGAATTGGAGATCTTAGATCTTAGCTCCAACCAACATTATTTCCTAGCTGAAGGGATAACACATATGCTAAAATTCACAGCCAACCTACGACACCTAAAGAAGCTAATGATGAACTGGAATGAAATATCAACTTCAACCAGCTATGAAATGGTGAGTCAGTCAATTGAAATCCTGGAATTCAAAGGAAACCGCTTAGATATTTTATGGAGAGATGGAGATACAAGATACACAAATTTCTTTAAAAATGTAACAGCATTGCTTACATTAGACATTTCCTATAATGCGCTAACATTTATTCCTTCTAAAGTATTTGAAGGTTTGCCTGCTAATCTTAGTAGACTTTTTCTGGCTAATAACAATTTTAAGATTTTCAGCTGGGAAATGCTATGTCAGTTAGGAAAACTTAAAGTTTTAGATCTCAGCAACAATCATTTGACTGCTGTGCCATTTGAACCAACTAACTGCACTCATTCTATTCAAGCACTGATATTAAGCAATAACAAAATAAAAAATATAACTCCAAACTTTCTCAGAAATGCAGTAAGCCTGAAATATCTGGATTTAAGTTTCAACAAAATCAGTTTTATTGGCAAATCCAGTTTTCCTGATAACATTCTTTCAAACTTAGAGATACTTGTTATACAAGGTAACCCATTTAAATGTAACTGTGATCTTGTGTGGTTTGTTTCTTGGATAAACAGCACAAATGTTATAATTCCATTTCTGGTACCTGATGTGTCATGTGCTGGACCTGGAGCACACAGAGGAAAGAGTCTAATATTCCTGGATCTATATACCTGTGGAGTAGAACATTGGAATTTGCTTTTGTTTTCATGTTCATCTTCACTGGTTATCTGCTTACTGGTGGTCTGCACTTCAAGTCACCTTTTCTATTGGGATTTTTGGTACACCTATCAATTACTGAAAGCCAAGATAAAAGGATATCGGAAACTGCCAAACTTTTGTTACGATGCTTTTATTGTATATGATAGCACAGATTATGCCGTATCAGACTGGATTTTTAATGAGTTAATTATAACTCTTGAAAAACAGGGAGAAAAGATGTTTAACCTGTGCTTAGAAGAAAGAGACTGGCTGCCTGGAAAACCGTTTTTGGATAATCTTTCAGAAAGTATCCAGCTCAGTAGAAAAACTGTGTTTGTGCTTACAGATAAGTATATCACAAGTGGACATTTTAAGACAGCCTTCTACATAGCACACCAACGCCTTATTGATGAAAAAGTTGATGTCATCATTTTTATATTGCTTGAGAAAACGTTACATAAATCCAGGTACCTTCGACTGAGGAAGAGGCTCTGTGGCAACTCTGTTTTATACTGGCCTACTAATTCTAACACCCACAATTATTTTTGGAACTGTTTAAAAAATGTATTAAGAACAGATAACAAAATGGCATATGACAGACTTTTTAAAGATAATATATAATTCACAGTGTGCTTCACACATCAACAAAGATGCATATAACTGCATTTTAAGGTCCCCCAAAATATGCTCATCTTGTAATCATATTCTTTTATGACAAATTAGACTATTATATAAAATACATTTTTTTTTTAAATCTATTAAGAGTATGCTTGATGAGTGATGAATTACATTGATCCAGCATGAGGAATAAAGGCCTTAACAAGTGGTGGTCATCTTAAAAATGACAGAGGGCTTCAAGTGTGGCAACAACATTCTGAGGACTGCACTACAGCAGGATGTTTTCTTGAGTTAAGGTGTATTGCATTGAGTTAGGCAACCCATTTAATAATAATGGGCTGTGAAACCTGAAAGTTCCATTATACTGCATTTTTGCAATGCACACTGAGGAGAAAGTGGAAGTAAAAAAAGTCCTATGGCTGATGTCAGTAGCAGTAATAGTAACCCCCAGCAATGGTGTTAGTGGCTTCAGTAATAACCCCCTGCATGATTATCAGTGGCCTCTATAATGACCCTCAACACTGGTGACAGTGGCAGCATTAATAACCCTCAGCATTGGTGTCAGTGACCACAATAACAACCCTCAGAATTGTAGTCTGCTTAACAATACTACAGATGTTCTTTCAGTGCTGGGTACTGGAACACAGAGAGCAACCAGAACCCTATTGCCTCTCTGCCCACAGGTGGACAACCAAGGGCAGACCCAGAACACGGCTGGCCTCACACAGAGAGCCGGTGAGCTACATGTGACCCATAGACTGCATGTTGGGTATCTAACATGTAGGGTGTAAAACTCAGCTGAAGATAGTTTTCTCCATTAGCTGTTAGTATATATAACTGTTTTATTTTAGTATGTTTTATTTACGGTTTTTAAACAACTTTAGTTCCATGCAACTAAGAATAGTAAGTACCGTAATTTATAATGAGTTTTATAACAGATGTTTAGCACACTAATGTACAAGAATAAGAAATAAGTCACATTGCATTCTATGAACTCTTTATTGTCATTTAAAAGATCCAATTTCTACACCAATACTAAAAGCAAATATGTACCACCACCATTAACACTAACAGATTTGTGATGCAAAAAACAGGAACACCAGGATACCCCTGCATGCACCATACAGTGCTTAAAATACATTGGGAAAAATTATTCAAATTGGAGCAGACAGAATAGTAGTTTGCCATAGTAACTAATCAGTTTCTAAAAGTCCACTGGGTCATACTCTGTATAGCACAATAAAAATGATAACACTTCAGGGTCATTCATTGTAAAGTCATTCATGCTGCTGAAATAAATATGATTTCCCTTTACCAGTGTTTAAATGTAAACTTGTAACATAACATAAACCTAATATATTGTCTTATATATTGAGGTTATTGTTTATTGGTCCCTCATGCCCCACAGTTTGATATATGTGGAAGAATTAAAAAACATGATCTCTGTTTTACCATTCCTTCTCCTCATCAGGTAATAACTAGCAATGGAATGGATGGGCACAAACAAAACATTGCTCCATTTGACTCCCAGTGAATTAATTATCTAATTTTCATGTTAGCAGCCCTTTAGCTGATGTCATATGGGTGAAAGCACTCACCAAGGCAAAGCAAATACTTCCTTTAATGGCTATACATCCTTTTCTGGCCCTGGATGTTGCAGAAGTTCTTCCACTAGTGATGGGACAGGGATGGATCAACATCTTGCTGGTCTAGCCAGAGAGGGAGCAAATCTAAGTAGTCTCTTGAGGATCTCGTCAAGTTCTTGCCAATTATAGGATTGCTCATCTGACATCAAGCTGGATAACTTTGAGAACTGTAATTGTTAGGTTATATGCAGAGATCTAATCATCTCTGCCATTACAGTCTTTACAAAAGTTTTGTTTAGACTGGCATTGCAAATAGCATTCGATAATGATGAAATATATGTAATCCGCGCTTATGGATATAGAATATATAAATCAAAAAGATAAAAATGAAAAATAACTCCTCATAGTGTAGTTCGACATATACGTTTATTTGAAGAAAAAAAAAAAAAAGTAGTCACTTACAATTAAAATCGAATAAAACGGCCGCTCACAGGCAGCGGGTGGATATCCTGTACTTCCTGGTTGTTCGTGGTATTGAGAAGTGTAGCCCCGCCCCCCCTTCTCATCTCTTTTTGCCTACAAACACCGTGGGTCTGGTGAGTGCGCATCCCAGAGGGGAGTTTTGACGTGGACACTTGGTGATTTATCACTTTTATTGATGTTTTTGAGTTGATTTGTTGTTGATCACTTTCATTAATTTTTGTATTTGATGCACGTTTGATTACAACAAAGTATCTTATAATAAGGTTTACTTAATTAATTTAATGCACTTTTGCACTAAATGAAATTTGATATTCATATATTTTATTTTATTTGATTTTATATCATATATTTATACATTTATATATTTTCACTGGCTATCACTTTAGTATGCTTATAATGATTGCAAACACTTATCTAAATTTTTGATTATATGCTGGTTTGTTAACACGTATTTGATTCACCCTATTGGTGACCCCGAGCGCTGCACACCCATTTATAAGCATTAGATAATAGTATATAGAGGTCTCTCCCAGTGGTGTTCAGGTTTATGTACAGTATATATACTAAATATTATGGTTAAACAGCCTTAGCTTTTAAAGGGTAGTGTATTTTATATAATGTTTTACTTTTATAATTTTAAGGCTAAACATTTGTTGTAAAAAATAGGTTTTATTTTGTCAGGTAAGTGTTGCAGAACTCTGGCTCATATGTAGCTGTATGGATCCTCAGAGACCATTAAACAGTGATCAACTAGTACTGGGATTTCTTTTTAGAAAGCTCATTGTTCTCTTCAAACACATGTAATGGAAGCACCTTGTATTTATTCCCAAAATAAATATAGCATTTAACTAATGAAAAAAATATATGCAAGCTCATTTTCTAAACTTGTATACATTAAAACAATTAAAATCTGGACATAAAACCTTCTAATTACCCTAATTACCAGTATTGCCAAAATAGGCACCCTGCAGCTGATCTTCCCCCTGATTACTGACTTGTTCTCAATTGTGTCTTTGTGCAGAGTTTGCCATCTTGATGGAGGAGCAGGGCTTTGATTCTTGATATCAGATCTGACTCCTGGGGATCAGGTGGGGGAATAATGACACAGGAATAGCAAGATTCTTGCACTTCAGGTGTTCAGGTACAGCTTCCTCTCCAGCAGGCCTTCAGAAGTGCAATGAGCAGCAGAGTAGTGAAATATCCAATTCTCCTGGGGAAATGCTGGGGGAATAATCAATACACATAGGCATATGGGTATGCCTGGTGTGCCTGGGTACACCCTAAACACCCCAAGTGCAACACCAAAACCCCAACAGCGTGTTCCGTGTTTTAGTCACTGAGCCAGTAGAGTGATCACAAAGATGTCTCTGTGACCGGCTCAGCAATGCAGAGCGCAGCAGCACTTTCCACCTACATTCCTTACATAATAGCCACAGTCCTCTGTGCCTGGGAAGCTGCAAGGGAACGTGGCTGAGGCTTCCTATCCATCACATGACCACCTGCCAGGCTCCCTGCTTCATTACTGCAACCCTTCTGGAAGATGTAAGGGACAGTTGAAGAGATGGGAATCTGGGATGCCTCAGCTCTGTGTATGTATGTATATATGTATTGTATATGTGTGTGTTTGTACTTTTGTGTCCACACCCTAATGCAATAGGCTGCACACACCTATGTCAATACACATGAGCAGTGAGATCCTTGCACTTCAGGTTCTCAGGTACAGATTGCTCTTCAGCAGAAGTACTGTACAATGAGCAGCACAGTAGCGATATCACCCATTTTTACTCCAGACCTTGTGAGAATAATAGTCATCAGAGTCAGCAGTGGGCAGGAATTCCTTAGATGAGCCTTTCTCAACCAGGGATCTCTGGCTCCCTGGTGTGCCTTCTGGCTTCTTAAGGGCTGCTTCAAAATTTCGTGGTAGTGAGACTGCGAAGTAAAGGGGAAACTTTGATTTGAAAGGTGGGGCTCCTGATTTGAAGTGGGCTACTGATATAAAGGGGGAACTTTGATGTGAAAGGTGGGGCTCCTGATATGAAGGGGGGGCTACTGATACAAAGGGTGACTCTGATGTGTAGGGCGAAGGGAAATCTTGATTTGAATGGGGCACTTTAATGTGAATGGGGAAACACACTTTTTTGTATGTTTTGCTTGGGGTCATTACATTTTAGACTTTCCCGCAAGATTTTGCATACTTTTAAAAGGGCGCCATGACTGAAAAAAGGTTGAGAAACACTGCCCTAGTTGATCTCACAGGAGGTCACAGGAACAGCAGTGCCTAGGCATATACAATTTCAGGAAGTGTACTACTACTGGTATTGCTCATAAAGAAGTCAACTTTTTAAACACTTACTATGCAGCTTCTTCTGTGACCATTATTGTGAGTTATTATTATGCTCAAAGAGACCAAGTTTTGAAGCCATACTGAGGCAATAAAAAGGTTTGGCTTTTGTTTAACTCAATATCAAGCGTATTGCTTTTGACCTAAAGTATTATAAACTCTTAAACCTTTTTTTTCAGTAATGATTCCAGATCAAACAAATATATATTGTCCACCAAAGCATTTCCTTAAATATTTGCCCAAACACTTACAGTCATCATGTTTCCAAACAGCTGACTTCAACTCTCTCAGCTTAGCTTCCCTGAACTTCCTGTTTAGTACAAGATCACAAGAGACATCACAATCTCCAGCAGATGTCCATCTACTAGCATGGAGAAGGGAGGAGGTGGAGCAGCATGCAGGGGAGAGACTTGCCCTGCAGTGCCTGTGCATTTGTGGAAACATGCACAGCTGACTAATACACACAAGGACCCTGCAAGGGAAATAAGCCACCCTAAAACAGGACCAGTACTCAGGGGACCAGCTGATTCTGCAGGAAGCTAAAACTTTGAAACATCAAGGAGCAGTATCCATTGTAAGTGATTTAATCTTCATCTGAAATAGCTTAAAAACCTTTTGACTTTAATATCATTTAGAGACATTTTATGTAAATATCCAAACAGTGAGGTCAGTTTGAAGTTGATCTTCAGCCAGATATAAGAATGCCAACTAATTATGTTATAAGTTCATGCTGTTTTAATAAAAAAAAAATATATGGTGCTTATGCAACTAATGTATATAACTAAATTTGCCTGGTTATCAGCTTTCTGTAATACCCTAAACAGTGAACTCAATATAAAAGAGAAACGGTCAGCTTCATTAGTCAATTAGCAGTCAATCGGGATATATGCTGACAGCAAACAGTGTGCTTCTACAGACAGCAGCCTAAGGACTTCTTGGCTATGCTTTCCTGCCGCTGTATTGTAAGCACAGGTTATGCTGTCCTGATCACAAGACTGGCCAAACAGAATGAAAAAATATCTGCATGTAGAAAAGTTCCCACACGGGAGAAGGTTAGAACGTCCATCAGCTTTTTTGTTGTGGTCCACATCCCTTTCTGTCTCGCTGACAATGTTGTCATTGACACAGGAACCAGGGTGCACAAACAGCACAAAAAAAAACCTACAGGAAAGTATAGAGCAATATATGAATACAATAGGGCAGCAGCTGTAGATAAAAATCAACTTTACCTAATTTGCTTCAACAATAATAACCAGTCATAAAAGTCAACCAGTTAAGGTTTACATTTAGTCACGCCTTGCTTATTGAGTTTTGTGACTGTTGACAAAAACCCCTGACATAGGCTCTAACCCTACCCCATTCTATTAAAAATGTACAATAAGCAAATAGACTAGCTATGTATCTGAAAATGGACCAGCTACACATCTTAAAAAATCTGAGACTTGCTATGCATCTGAGAAATCTGAGACCAGCTGTGCATCTAAAAAACCTAAGACCGGCTATGCATCTGAAAAATCTGAGACCAGCTATACATCTGAGAAATCTGAGACCAGCTGTGCATCTAAGAAACCTAAGACCGGCTATGCATCTGAAAAATCTGAGACCAGCTATACATCTGAGAAATCTGAGACCAACTGTGCATCTAAGAAACCTAAGACCAGCTATGCATCTGAGAAATCTGAGACCAGCTATGCATCTGAGAAATCTGAGACCAGCTGTGCAATGTAAGAAACCTAAGACCAGCTATGCATCTGAGAAATCTGAGACCAGCTATGCATCTGAGAAATCTAAGACCAGCTCTAACCCTACCCCATTCTATTAAAAATGTACAATAAGCAAATAGACTAGCTATGTATCTGAAAATGGACCAGCTACACATCTTAAAAAATCTGAGACTTGCTATGCATTTGAAAAATCTTAGACCAGCTATGCATCTGAAAAATCTGAGACCAGCTATGCATCTGAGAAATCTGAGAACAGCTATGCATCTAAAAAATCTGAGACCAGCTATACTTCTGACAAATCTGAGACCAGCTATACTTCTGACAAATCTGAGACCAGCTAGGCTTTGTATTATTGTAATACAGTTCGTGTACCCATCTCACTCAGGACCGCTGCTCCATGAGATAAGACGTGGGCACAGCAGGTGTCAATGGGTGGCTTCCGTCACAGTATAAGTAAAGGATGGACACCGGCACTTTGGAGTGCCGGAGTCCATCCTTTACTTGTATTATTGTAAGCCCCTCATTGTGCACCTTGCTAGTTATAAATCGTGCAGTTGCCATGTCTATTTAGCTTGGCTATATTTGGTGTGGGGACGCATTGGAGGCTTCAGTGTACATTTTAAAGTGCTGGGACTCCAGTGCATCCCTGTGCCTTTAAGGAAACATCTATGGGGCACCTCCAGGCATACTTGCATTCAATATATCTACCGCTATATACAGTATTCTCCAGGATGGAGGCTCTCATAGATTAGAGTTAGGACCATAATGCACAGAGGGACCTTAAAGAGGCAGTGTGGTTTCCACATATTTTGCAAAAGTAGTGCAACTAGAACATCTGTTTTTAACTCATATTGTTAGACAATGTAATTTGTTTTGTTGCAGGCTAGGTGGTAAGTGTGCTGGGAATTTTTGTGTTTTGTGATGAGAATTCTGAGACCAGCTATGCATCTGAGAAATCTGACACCAGCTATGCATCTTGTCATGGAAATACATTTGGAATGCAGTTGCAAATCACCTGCTGTCACCAGAGGCGTAACTAGAAACCTCAGGGCCCCGGTGCCAGAAACCATTAAGGGCATACCCACCACCACCACCACCACCCAAAAAAACATACCTTTTTTTAATATTAAATAAACAGTATGTATGTTATGATTTTTTTAGGGCTAGTTCACACCAGCCCCAGTGCGTTCCGGCCCGATTCAGTGCCGAAACACACTGGATCGCATCCCGACCAGCTCACTGCATTCTGGCGTCAATGGCACCAAAGGCACGCCCCAGCCGCAGTGCGATTGCCCGCACCAGAACGCGTGGCAAATCAATGCCTGCATTCCGGTGCGGTCAGAAAAAATAGTGCATGCAGCATTTTTTCTGGCTGCACCAGACCAGAATGCAGGCATTGATTTGCCACGTGTTCCGGTGCGGGTGATTGCACTGTGGCCGGGGTGGCGTGGCTGCGGTGCCATTGACTTCAATGCACCGTCACGCCCCCTCCCACCCCAGCACGCAGTGAGCCAGCCAGGATGCCTACCAGTGTGTTCCAGCATCGGGACAGAACTTACTGGGGCTGGGGTGATTCCTTTCAGTCACAACACAAATGTATGCATTACTTAATACACATGTAAGCACAATAACAGACACATTACTCAGAAACATAACAAAGCAGATTAACAGTAATGCCAGAATTTTTTTTTGTAACCCTGGGAAAGTCAATATACTCGGCAAGACAAGTATGGCATTCCACACATATACAATTGGTACCTACCTGGACCTGCTGCAGCTCTCCTCCAGAATGTCCTCAAGGCTTCTGATCTCTATGCCTCTGGGCTGCCAACTCCTGCACTCTCTCCACTGACCATGCTGCCTGACCGCATTGCCTGCTGGGAAATGGAGTTCCCTGACTGGCCACACCCCCCACTACAGCGTCTTCACCGTCCCTCTGTCTGAACCGTTGTCTGCAAGTGTCAAAAACACTGTGGTCAGCATAAGGCAACTGCGGGCGGTGGGCCCTCTGCTTCCTCGCTGGGCCCCCCGCCCCCTAACTGGTGGAACACCAGGGCCAGGACGCAAATGAGAACGATGTGACCCTACTAGTTCCGTCAGTGGTGGCGGTATCTGTACTACATTTAATGTAAATGACAATACCACCAGCTTCTCCCATGAACGTTCTTGTGCTTCATATGTGCATTAAGCAAATTTCTCTTTCTCTTTTTAATAGTCTTGGTAATCTGATGTTTGCGATTTTGATCATAAGTTGATTTGATCATAACTTGTCTGGAACTTCACATATTCCATCACTTGTCACTGTGTCTCAAGCCCAATTTTTGCAGAGGTTTCATAAAAACAAAGCACATATGTCAAAGGTGAAAATTGTTATATGGATATACACTATGTATATGCCAAACCTTATAGTCTATGCCTTGAAGCCATTTTGAATCACAGATGCCATTTAGAGTACATTGTTTCTCCCACATTCTGAAAAATCTGAGTCTGTTCCTTCCATAAGACAGATAGCTGTGCCTGCACAGATGTTTCCTGTTCAGTAGACTTGTATTTCTGAAATGACTCTCTTTTTTGTGTGTATTTTTTCTTGTAAATAATTTCTTTACTGAAACATTTCCCACAAGCCTACTTCCTATATACACCTCTAAAAATAGAAAACTATTATTTTTTAATTTTAGATTTGTCCACTGGTTTATGTGCAGTTAAAGCTGAACTCCAGGGATCATTTTAATATTATTGTGAAAATGTGCTATGATATAATCTATGTACTGCCACAATGTAAGTTTCTTTCTTTTCTTTCAACAACATTTATCTGTTTTGTGTTAGTACTTTTGCCCTGTCAGCCAACACCATTGTTGCAGCCAGAAATGTGCAGTGCTGGTGTTGTTTCTCTAACCGTATGTACACTATGGTCATTCACACATAACAGCCTGTGATGACACTGCAGCCACATGTTTTTGTGAAAATTGCAGAATGTATATGGAGTGTACACCCCAACTCTAGTGTCAATCATAGCTGCAGTGTTGGGGCCAGCCAGGGGGCAGAGGTTCAGCACAAGCTGTGCTAACACTTAAAGGAGAACTACGGGGTACACTTTATTTTTTTGCATTTTTAGTTTGATACAGGAATACTTTTTGCAATGTAATTTTAAAAATGCACCATACGATTGCAATTCAGTGTAATATACTTAAGGCGGGGCTAAGGTCTGTGTTGAGAAACTATCACGACGATATTGTCTGGGTCCTCCTCTTCCATTAAGTGACAGAAGCTTGTAGGAGCTGCTGCACATTCATGAGAATCTGGGCAGAGGCTCAGGGCCTATCGTGCCAGAGTTAACACTTGCACATCCATCCTGCAGTTTGTCTTTCGTTCCCCCCTCACTTCTCCCCTCCACACTGTTCTCTCCAGACAATATACATACCACAACAACACTGAGACCCGTCAGTTCAGATCTGTCCTCTCATGTCCTCGCCCTCCTTCCCTCTGTTATCTTTAGCTCTTCTTCTCCGTGTGTATAACTTAAGACAGCAGAGGGGAGGAGGGCCGTAGGTCTTAGTGGGAATGTGTTATGTGTATTGTCTGGAGACATCAGTGTGGAGGGGAGGGGGAACGAAAGACAAACTGTGGGATGGATGTGCAAGTGTTCGTAGACCTGTGATCTGACATGATATGCAGTGGCGTCGCTACAGGGGGGCAATTGCCCCCTCTAGGTTTTCACTTGCCCCCCCCGTGTGCCCCCCCGCCAGGAATCGGCAAGGTGTTTGTGACTGGTCCTTGCAGGGTCCGCCGCGGTCGTACGGAACAGTTGGTACGTCCCAACACCCCCGTCCTCCTCTCCCTCTTCCCTGGGAGGACGGTTTTGGTGTACTGCACGGTTGGGGTCGTCTTGGATACACGCACGTCAACCTGCTAAATTGATTCTCTCCATCTCCTGAAGAAGCGCCTCTGAGCACGAAACGTCGAGACAAATATTCGCTCCCCCATTCTCAACCATCCTTATTCATGTATCTATTATTCTAATCATGCTATTAATTAACCATTCTATCATGTATTCTTGAATGGGATGTTCATACAGTAGGTGGAGTGAGCAAAGCCTATGTCCCTCCACTTTTGAATGAACCCAAATGAATTTTTCAATCATGCATTTAATGAATTTTTCAATCATGTTATGTCTTTCTTGAAATGGGTGGTATAAATGGAGTGAGCGTATAAGGAGACATCTGATCAGCCGGTTGTTTTTATTACTTGTACTGTATGTGAATCAATCTTTTAAAATATTACTAAGATTAAAAATACTTTTTTACTGCTAAATTGCTTTGGATTTGTCATTAGGTGCCCAAAAACCCCCCATCTTTTTTCTTTCCTTTTTATATCAAAGTTCTGCAAGCAAGCAGCTGGCCTGGTGCTCAAGACTGAATAGGTGCCCGACCCTGTGGTGGTGGTAGGCCGAGCCTTTGCAGAGGACAGCAGCTGTTCTCTGCAAAGGCTTCCCTCACCCCCACCACAGCGTCGGGCCCCTATTCAGCCTTTGGCACCACCTGCTTGCTGCTACTGTACTGATCTCTGCAAAGGCTTCCCCCACCCCAGCGTCGGACCCCTATTCAGACTTTGGCACCACCTGCTTGCTGCTACTGTGCTGATTCTGCATCAGCACAGTAGCAGCAAGCAGCTGGTGCCCAAAACGTAATAATAGGGGCCCGCCGCTGAGGTGGAGGGGAGGGGAAGCCCTTGCAGAGATCAGTACAGTAGCAGCAATTTGCTGGCCTGGTTCCCAAGGCTGAATAGGGTCACGACATGGCTTCCCCCACCTCAGCATTGAGCCCCTATTCATCATTGTGCTCCAGCTGCTTTCTGCTACTGTGCTGAATCTGCAACAGTAGCAGCAAGCAGCTGGTGCCCAAAACTGAATTATAGGGGCCTGACGCTGAGGGGGGAAGCCTTTGCAGAGATCAGTACAGTAGCAGCATTTAGCTGGTCTGGTGCCCAAGACTTCCCCCACC